TCTTCCACGCGCCGGGCAGACTCACCCGAAAGCGTTGGGCGTGCCTTCGGTGGTGCTTTCGGTGGTGTTTTAGGAGCTGGCACAGCAGGGGCCTTGCTTCCGCTCGTAGTGCTTCCGGCGCCCCTTCTCGCAAGCTGGCCTTCATCTTCTCAGCATGAGCTTCCTCCTTCTTCCTTCTGTTTGCTTCTCTTTCCTGCTCCAGCTCAGCCGCAGTAGACGCACTTGCTTTGGCCTTTGGCCTGTCGTGGGGACAGCTGCAGCCCCAGCCCTTGCAACAAAAGCCTTCGCTGCCGACCTCGCTGCCTCACGAGCCGCCTCCTGCACCGTCAAGGCACCTCGTGCCTCTCTCTTTTTCTCTTCCTTCTTTTCTTCCTTCCTCTCTTCTTTCCTTTCTTCCTTCTTTTCCTCCTTGGGCTCTGTTGTTGCTGCCAGTGCACGAAAGCACGAGCTCCATGCCACCCTTAGAAGCAGCGAAACTGCTCTGCAGCTTGGCAGTTTCGAGAAAGGTGAGAAGGGGGAAACACCGGAAACTTGCGTTGTACGACATAAGTCGCACACACCTTTACGGAGCGGCGAAGAGGAGGATCTTTGTTACACTACCACACGGAGATGAGGAAGAAGGAAAGTGCGCTCTTTGACTCAAAAGCATGTACGTCACAATGAACGCCAGCCACGTGTGGCAGGGCGACTATAGCCAATTGCTTAGTGAGAACGACTTTCATGCTGGCCGCGCATGGCAAGCTGTCTTCAGGAGCAGCAAGGAAGACCTTACCTTGCCAATGCGTGGTAATATTTTCTTTGTGTTATCTCATGATGATGGACAGAACTTCATGCAAGCAGTGCTGAAGAAGCGCTACGAGTTCCGCATCGATGGATACATGGGAATGGAGGAGTCTGATGACTCGCACATCACTGTGTTGAACAGGCTGATCACCTTGGATAAGAAGACTGGAGCAATTAGCTTTGAAGCTGATCCCAGACATGCCGAGATGATCATTCGACAGCTAGGGCTGGAATCGGCCCGGGCAGTCGCTACGCCTAACGAGAAAAAGAATCTGGCAGACGTGTCTGGCGATGCATGCGCAGGTCTTAGCTCAAGACAGAGCTGACTTGAATGAGACAGTGAAGTGTCTCACGAGACACATGCAAAACCCTACCGAGCAGGACCTGTCAGACTTGAAGCATTGAAGCGATTAGGGCGCTACTTAAAGAGTCGACCGAGAGTGACCACCTGGTTTGAGCCGCAGAAGACGCCTCAGAAGCTTACGGTCTTCTGTGACAGTGACCATGCTGGATGCTTGTTCACCAGACGGTCCACGACTGGCTTGGCAGTCATGTTCGGGAGGCATTGCCTCAAGCACAGCAGCAACATACAGTCTACTGTTGCGCTGAGCTCGTGAGCCAGAGTACTACGCAGCAACAAAAGCCTGTGCACTTGGAATGTCGATCCAGGCGTTGTTGGAAGACTGGGGCTACTCAATTCAACTTGAAGTCCGGACGGACTCAGCAGCAGCGATTGGAACAGCGAGTCGCAAGGGACTCGGAAAGCAACGGCACGTGCAGACCAGGTTTCTGTGCTACAAGAAAAGGTCTCTGACAACAAGGTGTTGCTGAGCAAAGTACACACCAACAGCAACATCGCTGACCTCATGACGAAGCCCATGAGCCGGGAAAGTTGTGAAAAGTTGGTGTCGTTGATGAACCAAAGGTTCGTTGAAGGCAGAGCCGTAGGAGCTAAGCACCTGGTAGAGTAGGTGTCTGTACCCAACCAACAAAAGTTGGCCATGTACAGAAGGAGGGATGATGAGATTATCGTCCCCACATACTCCTTACGGACCCTGCTTGCATTTGGCTCAAGTAAAAGTGTCCGACATATTATTTTATCAAGGGTTGCTTAATAAAAACCATCAAAACGCCAGAGGCCTTTGGCCTCGGCGGACTTGAACACCTCACATCCACTGGACGATTCATTCCTTCAGCAGAATGATCGCGACATGCTAAGTAGCATCGCTGATAACTCCCGAACCGTACGCGCCGGACGGGGCACTGGCAAAATGCATCAAGACCCTCATTGCAAACTAGCTCACGTGCGATCTTGAGCTTCTCTTTAGCTAGTGTCAGCTAGAGTCTTGGTCAGCGCATCGGCTACCAAGCTTTCCCGGCCAACATGACAATGGATGCCGTATGATGCCGTGAATCATCATAACATCTCGCGCCCAAGCAGCTCGGAGAGCGAAGTGCCGTGTTCTCATGTCCAAGGTACGTGTTATCCCTGCGAAGTACTGCTAGCGTGCTCATGCAAAAGAACCGTTACAAGCTCCGGCAAAGCTGCTTCTCGCTCTTCCATGTTGAACCCTGCAGCACCACTACAGATCTTGATTGCCCCCCACTTGGGGCAAAATTCATTACCCAGAACAGCAAGCCCATCAGCCTGCGAAGCCCTCACACATCTGATTCGCCTGATCTGCCATGCGCACCGACGTTCCCAACCGCGTCGGTAATCTCCCGACGTTCCACATCCAGAGGAGCCAAAAGCCCTTGGCACTTTGCCTCCCAAAGGGTGCTAACGTGCTTGATGATGCAGTCCATTCTTTCGACAGTTTTTCGATGTCACTTGTAATCAAGGAGTCATCGACATAGCAGACCACCAAGCCTCACACCTGTGATGGATCCTGCGCAGCGACCACTCTCCGAACCCCAGCCACACCTTCAATGCCCCGAGCTCTGGTAGGCGACTGTCTTTCGGCTTTGCGGCATCAGTAGGTGGCCCTGCATGCATCTGTTTGTTACCTACGGGCTTCCCGGACCTAGATGTGTCGTGGTAAGTGGCGCCTGTCGGACGTTTTGGCTTCCGGCGTGGCGCCACCCTTGCTTGTAACAACTGGAATCCGATTACCTTGTACGGAAGCAGCAATGTTCCCCCACTATGCCGTGCGGTTTTGTACTGCTACTTTCCTTCGCGGCAGTGATCTCTTTGTATGTGGAATGTATGCAAGGCGCTGCTACGCAACTGGGCTCCGACTTGTGGAATACACCAGCCCTACAACGGGAAAGAACAGACGTGTCCAATTTTCAGCGACATGCGAGCTGCGTAGGGTTTTGCTGCGCAGGTGCATGACGTCTCTTGTTGCTGTAGCCACCTTACAAGCCTTCCATGCAGTTGCACTGTGCACGCATGTTAGAATGAAGAGCTTCGAGCGACGGTCAGACACGGTTGCCTTGCGTGTGTACCTTGGGTTGGCCGTTGCAGTTGTCATGCTTGTCCCTGCACTGTTGTCGCCTTGCCTGTGTGGTCGATGCCCTCTGCTGTTTTTCCCGCCTTGTGTTGCAACTCTGCCTGCCCTGCCACGATATGCCCTCATCACTGGCACTGCTTTCGCAGTGCAAGCAAAGATTGTGGAGACTGTGACTAGACGAGACGGCTGACAGCGTCATACAGCGTCATTGCCTGCTATCACTGCGTGAACGACTTCACGACAGTCTGGCTGCTGCTCACAGGCGCAGACCTCTCCGAGACACGTATGCTGGCACACGTTGAATGATCTGCTGCTGCTTCGGCCTTGCTAGTGATGCTGAGGCTGAGTTTACAGAGCCCAGCCCTTGCTGCTTTGCAATTGCGATGGGAGGGAACCACATGGCTGGGGGGCTGCTGACAGAGCTACTGGGAGGTACACACCAGGTCCTGGCACCGGCCCGGGGTCGTTTGTGCTGAAGCCGCAGCCGCCGCCCACGCCCTTGACCTCCTTGGCCAACTTGTCGGCATCTGGTTGACGGCTTATAGCCAGGTGCCCAAGTCGAGATCTCTCTGTCTGATGTCCTTTTCCCTGGCAACGGACCCAGCGCATGTGGATATCCGAACCTTCTGATTTCCATCTTCCCAGCATATCTTTTCTCGGCTGAATTTGGTTTTATGGATAGACCTTGCATGCCGGGCCCGTGTAGCAATGATTGATTTCTTGGCATAAACCACTTGACCTCGCCTTGAACGGCCAAGAACTCCTATTGGGCAATTCCTTCCTGCAGGGGATTGGTGAGGTTTCGGCCTGCCTGGCCTCCCTGGCTGTGCATATTGTCATATTGAATGTCATATTGTCATTCCAATCCGGCTGCAGCTCTCGTGCGCTTTACTCCGGCTTCTTGTCGCACTGTGACGTGGGCGCTAGCACATCGGCTTTTGGTATTTTGCGGGAGCTGCCGCTACCGTATTTGGCGGCCTCCCGCCTACAAATTGCTTGGCCGCAGAGTAGCACGGTCAAATGACCAAGGCTGAAATATTTTTGCTCTGACAATTTCTGTGCCCTAACTCCACGCTGCCTGGTTGTCTTGGTTTGCCACGGAGTTATAAGGCTATGATTTTATGGTGGTTGTCCTGGAGTGCGAGCTGTGGTTTCCAGGTGTTGTTGGACCTGCTGTCGCTTAGCTGTGCTTGCGAGTCGGAAGGTCGTTTGGAGCTCCCTTGAAAGTAGATTTGGTGTCATCTTATCTTGAGTGTTGCATGTTGCCTTAGCTTGCTGTATCTCATGAGGAGGGAAGAGGAAGATATCACCAGAGCTGAACACTACCTGAAACTGCGATTTCAGTCAAACGTTTGTGTTCGGAAAGTAGAGCTGGCCGAAAAGGACCTAGCAGGTCAGCAACTGAGCTGCCTAAACATGGACGACAGAGCAAACACGGTACACGGGTGAACTGCGCGGGACGATGCAGGCTAATGCAATCGCATGCGCCGGTTAGCCATACTGACATCCTGCTCAACTGTTTACGGAGTTCATTGTCGGCATTATCATTCTGGTTTTTCTCAAGGAGGTTTATGGGAAGGCCACATGTATATCATGGTGCATGATCGGTCTGTCAGATTGAATATCGGAATATTGCAGTCCTTGGTAGGTTTCATCGTCTTGGTAATGGCTCTGATGCGTTATGCGGCTTGTAAACTGTACAAAATGCCGAAACCGACTCCGCCGCGCATACACGAAAGCCTAGCCAAACCCTCGAGCCTGCAGGGCGCACGTATTACGCGAACATCTCGCCCGAAGCCCGGAAGGACAGATCGGACCTTGCATAGCGCAGCTGGAGTTGTTTTGAGGACCGGGGAGACCAGCTGGGAGCCTCCAGCACCAGCTGTGGCTCTTCCGGAAGGTTGGACGGCTCACCAGGTACGTGTTTTGAGTTGTTGCGAAATGTTGTGATGGGACAAGCAACGCAGCAACGTGCATCGGCAGGATGAACAGGGCCGGACATTTTATGCCAATTGTACCACGGGAGAGTCCAGCCCATGGCCAAGCTTCCCCACGGACACACACGGTGAGACTGTGCCTCTGTGCCACTGCAGGTTGGGACCCGCCAGCACCAGCACCAGCAGCACCAGGCCGTCTGAAGCATTATTAAAGGCAGAAAGGAGAGAAGTTTCGATCTCCAAAGCCTTTGCAGCCCCTCCGGCGGCACCCACTGTGCCCACCCCTGCGCCTGCTGGGCGCTGGTCGGTGGACTTCACGCAACCTGCCAGCAGTCTCAGGTGATGCAGAATCGTCCACGGCGTTTCTGCAGGTATACGATCGGCCCTGAGGGTTCAGAGCACGTTTTCTCGGGCAAGGTGCAGCTGCTGGACAGATCTGTGCTCCAGCCCCAGCGGGCCCATGGACCATCGCAGAACCACTATAAAGCACGCGTCTTCGCACCATGACCCGCGATCGAGGTACACATCGGTTGGGTCCGTCGTGGAGACTCTGAATCGTGGATCACCTGCGAAAATCTGAGATGGAAGTCTCAGGGTCGTAAAGCCTCGAGCTGTCTTGCACATGATCCAGGGTGCTTCCTGAAGGCCGTGCCAGAAGGCTACTGCGTGGTGTTCTCCAACTCCAAGCGAAGTGGGCTGCCTCAGTTTTTGCCTGGAAAGCCCCTCCAATCGTGCTGCGACATCCTTTGCCTAGATTACTTCCTGCTGTGGCGGGAAGACAAAGAAGCCGAAGCATTCGCGTTGTCTTCGGCTTATGTGACATCGTGTATCCGACTCATCCCATTCCATTGTGATACTGCTTGAGGCTTGGCATCGGCACAGACAGCGGGGATCAGCTTCTAGCCCAGAGAGTGTCGAGACAAAGCTGAAGCTGCAGAGTTCGGAACTTCAGCCAGAGTCGCGAGGTGGTCAACATCCCAGGTGTTGAGGTTGGACCCTTCATGGACAGAGGACAGACGTGGAAGAAAGTTATTCACGGATCAAGTTCGGCTGCAGGAGTTTTTCGCCGGGCGCTGCGACGTTGTCGACAAGGCACATTGAACACGTGTGCGCGTCTTTATTGATTCAACGCGCAGTGTTCAAAGCTCAAGCAGAGGCGCGCTACGACTCCGTGACGGCCGCCGTCGACGCACCGAGCTCAGCGCGCGCGGCGTCGGCTTGCTCTGTTACTGCTTGCTGTGGGCAGAGGCGTTGAACGCGGGCATTGTGATCGAAGGGCAGCAGGGCTTTTGCGCAGTCTGGTCAGCCGGTGCCCCAAGTGCCAGTACAATCTCGGCAAAACGGTTACCAGTCGTGTCTTCCCTGCATTGCCCGTGCCCAGACTTCGCAGCAATGCTTCCATCTGGTCTGGCGCCAGGCATTCGTCTAGTTAGGCTCATTCCGAGTCATGCGGTGGTTCGCCTGTGCAGGACAAGGAGCAAGAGGCCTACGCTGCACTGGGGGTTCGCTGACTTTGAACAGCAAGATGGCACATGCAAAGCAAGACTCTTGCTGCCTTCAAGTCTCAGAATCGTCCGGAAAGAGAGGCAGCTAGTGTATCAGCATCACCGACACTGTGTGACGATTCTCGGCATATTGATGTGGGCCAATGACAAAGACCTAAGAAGTGTGTTTTCTCTGCAGAGCAGAGCAGCTCTCACCTTCAGAAGCCCTCTGTGCCCCCAATCACTACTAACAACGACAGAATGTTCGGAGTCAGACTGAAGTCCAAAGACGGAGCAAAGATGATTCAAAGGCAGAGAGGTCGCAGGGCGCAGGCGAAGGGCAGCCTGGGCCGCCATGTGCTCATGTGCTCCTGTCCCTGTGCTTCCCTGCTGTGATGTGTGAACATATGCGTGGCCTTGGCATGCCTTGGCCTACCTGTGACCCGAGCAGTGCATAACTGTGAAAAGAGTTCTCCCCAACGAGCAATGAGCAAGAGCTCGGCGGTTTAGCAAAACTCGGCCGCGGTGTCAGCACTCCTGGTTGTGATGCCTGAGAGGTTGCCGTTGAGCGTCTTGTCGGGCCGTTTCTCGTGTGCATAGCCAGTTAATGATCGAATCTTCCCTTGGCCCCATGGCAGGAGAAGTGTTGTCATTAGCAGAGCTTCGCTGCAGAGGATGTTAGGCCTGTTAGGCTCCGCAGAGCTGAGAGCAGGACATGGTGTTTTCAGAGGTTCCTCTCCACCACGCTGCTCGGAGTCATTCGGTATACGGCAGAGCACAAGAGTTCCGGCTTGCCAGAAATTGCCAGAAGAAGAACGTGCACTGCCTACAAGCCTCCACTAAGTGGGAACTTGATCCATTGGATCCTTGAGAGGAAATGGACTTGCTATGTGCTGATAGGACCAGACAGTCATGAAGCCCCAATCGTCTTGCCGCATGTGGCATCTGGCAATCCGAACCTTCCGCCCCTAGCAAGAGAATTATCTTGTTTTTCTTCTTCTTCTTCCCCTTCTTCCCCATCATCCTTGTCATGCGCCCTCGTCGTCGTCGCCCCCGTGCATCCAAGGACCCTGCCAACACACTGCCACGTGGCCCCGCGGGGCATCTTTTTAGTTTGAATTGCTCGGGCTCTCAAGAAAGCGGAACATCTTTTCCACAACTTCCGAACTGCGCATTCTCCATCAAGGCCAATGTTCGCAGCCACTCCATCATTGCAAGCCAGCTTTCCAGTGACCAAACAGCCGAAGTGACGAGCTTGGGGACACGCCTTTGCGCTCGCCGTTCGAACCATCAGTCAGACGAAGCGATGTCCGACATTTGCGGCTGTTCGTTACTACTTTAGCGGGGAGTCACCTTCATCATGCCCCAGCATTGGCAAGGTTAGGCAGATCAGGGGGTACTGTATCTCGAGGTCGTGTTGGGTTAGTTGTGGCTTATGGGGGTTTCGTCCAGGCTGAGCGGGAGTGTCGGCCACGAGGCGACCCACGTAGAATCGAGGGCTGTATGGACTCTTACTCTTCCGAAAGAGACAGGCGAGAGAAAGAGATGTTTGACAGAGGTTGACCCTGTGTCACGAGTTGGTGGAGTCGTGAGAACCGAGGTCTTCTCCGCACAACATGGGTGCTGGCTTTGTCTTCGGCGTGCCTATTTGCCAGAAATTATGAGCAAGGACAGTCGGACAACCAATAGGTTAAAGTTGAAGTTACAGTGACCAGCTTGAATCACAAAGCGAGTGAAGAAGGATTTACCGGCTGGTCAACTAGCCTTCGACCTTCACCTGTGGAAAGCGTGTGGATTCCCAGTTTGAGAGGCTCGCGCAGGGCCACTGTGCAAATGTGGAGCCGAGGTTTCCCGTCATGTTTCCACAAGGCCCTCCTTTTCTTTCGACCCTCCTTGGTTTCAGCATTGTGCAGTCGGCACGGCAGCACGATGCGGCACGCTCTTGCGCAGGGAAGGGAAGCTCGGACCACGGCCAGAGCCTGACGAAGTGCGCACCGAAAGGCTTCTGAAGGAGATCACCAACAACACACCTGGTTTGGCCTGCTGGCTGCATTCTGCAGTGTGTGTATACCATTGTCATCACGTGCTTCTTCGTAAGCAACCCTGTCCTTTCCGCCGCCGGCTTCCAGGTGGAGTCGTCTGCCTGGAAGCTGTCTGCTATCCCCTGCTTGCAGTTTGCCCACTGCTTTTGCTGTCGCTGACTTGATTCGCCAGTTCGAGCGTGTTCTGAAGTGAAGCAGCAAACGTTCAGGAGCAAGTCGAGTTTGGAAGTGTCCTTGCACAGAGCAAAGCCCTGCCTGAATTGCCGAATCGTCTGCCAAAGAAACAAGCGTAGGCAAATAGGAGGCCATGGCATATATATCATATATTGTCAAATTCAAAGGTCGGCAGTAAAGATTCGAGTGTTAAGTCTCAGATGAAAGGCCGGACAAAGGGATTTTTCCGAGCACCGTCAATCATCAGCTGCGGACTTCAACAGACGTTGTCTGACTTCAACTCCCCCGGTCCCCCGGCCCCGCCCTGTAAGCTGTATCGACTGGCAAATTTTTTAACGTGGGCCCGTGCCTTGGCGTCACGTGTCTTTGTGGCTGGGCACGTGGCCAAGGCACGTGGACCAAGACCAACCGACATCCAGCGACCGGGTAAAGAAACGGACCCCTTCAATCATGGAAACTATTGCGTCCTGCTCTTCGGTCCTGCTTTAAAACAATGTACTGACTGACTGCTAATCGCCCCCCATCCGTCAGGGCACCCGCATCCACCTGCAGTCTGCACTTCGTGGGCAGTTCCTGCAGTCGTGTCAAGCTGGGACGTCCTATGGTCTTAAGGTTGTGGCAGGGCACGCCATCCCACCGAACGAGTCATGAACAAGTCGCATCTACGTTTCCCAACCCGGAAAGCTGAGCACAACACACCGCGAGGCTCTGGCTCCCAACGTTTCGGGGATGTTGTGTTGTACTGTATCCCTATCCGACTGTATTCCTCAAACTAAACTCACAGGGCTCAGCAGAGCCTGCAGCCTCGGCCTCAGCTTCAAACACTGGGCCCGGGCCCTTTTTTGTTTCCAGATTCAAAAAGGATGCTGTTCCTCTACTCCCGCTACTAGTACCTCGCGGTGAAATAAATTCATGTGCATATTTGCCTGCTTATTGGGGGGAGCCCGCCGAGTCCGTCCAGTATTAAATAGTCACGATCTGCGTTCAGGTCCCATGCCTCCGCCTTTCATGCGAAGCACCGCTTCGATTCTAGTTTTGTTGCGATTCAAGCACGTAGCCTTGGCGTCATGGGAAATGGGGAGCCCAAGGCAAGATCAGCTGCTCCACAAAGCGAAGGCTGGGGCGGCTGGGCTGGAAACGTCGGAGGGGGACCCTTCCGACTGAAGGGGAATTAGACTTGGGGACCGAAGCCGTCACGTCGTCAAGTCAGGTGGCGGAGCTCGGGCCCCAGTGGAATGAACTCTGCTGCTACAGCAGTATGACAGTATGAGTCCGAGTCCTTTCTCGTGGCATCTGAGGTTCGGCTGCTTTGGGCTCCCGAGCCCCATGAGCGTGTGGACTTCGCTCTGTGGTTTGGTCCACTACCCTGCTTCCAGGCTGCTTCCAGGCTGCTTCCATCTCGCTTGCAGTGTTGCCTGGGAGGTGGGCACCTTTCGCTACTGCTTCTGTCTTTCGCAGACCGTCGTGCTGACGGGGTTCCTCGAACGCAGGCCGCGGGGCGTTTTGCAAAAGACCAGAGCGTTCTGTTTTTCTGAGGCTCCTTCTGGCCCTTGCAGTTGTTATCCTGGGACCGGAGATTTTGATGTCGCCACCGCCCCAGCGGCCCTGGCCCTGGCGGCCCTATCTGCAGCTCTTGCCTTGTCTAAGGCCGCGAACTTATGGCTAGCGGTCTTACCTTCGGGAGAGGGGCACTACCCCATGATATGCAGAGTCGCTGTTGGAAGACGAAGTCTTGCGCAGCTCAGACCGTTGTTCGGCATCGCAACAATGCCTCAATGCACTCGTGGTAGGCCGTCATGCCGTGCCTTCAATCACCGTTACTGGCAGGTACAGGTGGTAATGGCCAATGGCTTCGCGCAGCTTCGGGCTCTTACGGGGTGGGGCTGGCAGACCCAGTCAAGGGGATCGCCATGGAGACGGAGCCAGACGATCCCATTGCAGAGCGATACGAATCACCAACCGCAATGACGCTTGGCCTAATCGTGTTTTCTTCCAGCTTTCTTGGGCTCTTTGTGGCTGCAGCATTGGCATCCCATTCCATGCTAGAGTTTCTGGCAGCGGCACTGCTTTGGCCAGCCTGCCTTCTATGGCTGAACTGGTGCGTCCTGGTGCCAGGAAGGCAAAGGCAGAGGCAGAGGCGGCGAGGCGAGACAGTGCTGGGATGTGTCGGGCTCTTTCTGGCCCCCGTCTGCGTGGAGGCGACACGGCGTGGGCCTGGGCGAATCATTGGAATCTCGGAATCCGCAGCGGCGATCCTCTGCTCAGTGCGGGCGCTGCAGCTTTTGATGCGCCTCGAAGCCGTCGAAGACGAGACCGACGAGGCGGGCGCATGCTGCGGCGAGCCGCCGCAGGAGCCGCAAGAGCGTTCCCCTCCAGACACTCCCACTCCCGGCGGCCGGACACCGCGGACACCTGCCTGGGGACGGTGGCGACGCTTCTATCAAATGGCATGTCTCAGTTGGCACGACATGGACCGAGTGAAGGCACTCGACCCCAGGGAGCATCGAAGGCACTACCAGAGCACGCTGAAGGAGCTACTCCTCGCAGCCTTGGGGCTTGCAGCCGCTTAGCCAAGGAAAACAGAGAGAGGAGAGTCGGGAGAGTCAGGAGAGAGGCGGCAGACGAACAGCGAAAGCCAGATCAGCGAACTGGACAAGTCTTTGGCTTCTACTCCGGCTTTTACCTTTCCATGTTCGACATGAGCAGGCACAAAGGACGAGTATCTAGTTCTGCTGCAAGTCTCAGCAGCTGCAACGGATTCTGCCGACTTAGTGCAGGCGCAGGCAGCAGGCGGCATGCTGCCATGAAGCTTTTCATATAGAGAGAGAGCGTACACCGTGTGAAGGTGGCGGTAGAGAGTTGCAGTTTCTTTCGTCAGAGAGACAGAGCCGAGACGATTCCCAAGGCCTGTGTGCTCGCCTTGCACATCCTGCCCAGCAACGCATTTGCCAACATTGGCTTAGGCATATTCGGGGCTGGCAGCGTCGTGTTTGGGTTCTACACCTTTGATCGCGGCTACTTGTTCCTCCTCTCTTACTTCAACAAGTTGAGTGTGCACTCCATTTTCGGACCTGGTTTATGGCAATCCAGGACCATCAAAGATTTCTGGAGGCAGTGGAATCTGCCTGTGCAAAGGATGCTCCTCAAGGGCGTCTTTGTGCCCTTGCGAAACATGGGCTACTCCAAAGGCTGCTGCGGGTTTTTGGTCTTCCTTGCCTCTGGGCTTGGGCACGCCTGGCCTTTTTGGTGTGTTGGAGCTCCGAGCTGGCAGACGGCCATGATGCTCCTGTTCTTCGTCACTCAAGTCATCCCACTTCAGCTCGAGTCCAGATTGCAGATTCAAGGCCGAGCCTGGGTTTACACCGTTGAAGTGCTCCTGTCGCCTCTTTTCGTTTGGCCTTTGCTTCACGCCTTTGCATAGGCCTTTGCACATCTGTTTCACACTCCCTGGCTGGCGCTGAAGGGCAGCCACCAGGTGACCCGCACACGGGAGATGTGGTTCGGGAGTCAGCTACAAAATTATTAGACGGGCCACCACATAGTTAGTCTACAGGCAGCTCCGAATTTTCGTCCCGGCACATCTTCAGATCCCAGGCGGTTGGCCCGGGCAAGATGGGCGCTCCTCAG